ACGGTGACTGTCATTGACCAGGACACAGCTGTTTCTTCCATGTCGATGGCATCCCAGTACAATAAAACCTCGGATGCCACTAACATGGTCCCTCTGTATCCATCACTTTCTGCCAGCCTTGTTCATGGGGCATCATCTCAGATTCCAAATCAGGGACAGAGCTGGTCACTTCCCTACCAGGATGGAAGTCAGCTCTATTTTTACAATCAAGGCACACTAGGGCCTCTGCTCTCTGCAGAACGTGGCCCCTACCTGCAATCCTATGGCTCTGTGTCTTACCCAGAGAGCAGGGCCTCTGCCCCTCAACCAGAAATGGTCATGGTGCTAAGGGAGGTCCAGCCCACAAATGTGATACCACCGGCCTCCACCTCTGCAATCTACTACTCTGTGCCTGCTCAACCCATCACAGAGACAAGTTTTCAAGGTGAGTTCAAACAGCAAGAAGGAAGAGGAACGGGGTCACCATTAAAAACTCGGGTCACCCGGGAAGTGGTGAGTCCACAGACAGGTAGACTTTAAGTCCTGTGACTTTGTAACTGCCACCCTCAGTCAGTGCTCCCCATTTTCAGACTCTATGGGAACACCTCATAGAGAAGGGAGGGTGGACACTGGATTGGCCATGTATGAGAACTGAAGAGCATACAAAGGGGTCCCACACTATTCACTCCCTTACCTACTAGTCTCCCTCTACTACAACAGTTTCATGGACTCTCTTGATTTATTGCTTCAGTGTCTTTTTTAAAAAATATATTTTATTGATTTTTTACGCAGAGGAAGGGAGAGAGATTCTTAATTCATGCCAGGTTTTAAGACCTTGTGTTCCATGATCTTGTCCAAAGCAAGCAGGTTAGACCGCAATCAAGGTACATGCCCTTGACTGGAATCAAACCTGGGACCCCTCAGTCCCCAGGCCAGTGCTCTATCCACTGAGCCAAACCGGTTAGGGTGCTTCAGTGTTTTTAGAAGGAATTTCAGAACTCTTACTGCGATAGTGGTAGTTTAACTTTCCCTCACTTCTTAATTCATGCCAGGTTTTAATACCTTGTGTTCCACGATCTTGTCCAAAGCAAGCAGGCTAGAAATCTGCCCTTGCTTATGTATTTCATCAGGAAGAGCTGCATTCGCTCCCCTACTCCATTGTGTGAAGTCTTATTTCCTCAGGAAAGGGAGAGAACTAAAAGGACTCCATATGTACAATGCTAGCTTTGTAAAACATTTTAAATCACTTACTTTTTATTTGTTTTATCACAACCCTGTCAAATACACAGAATACCATGAAACAATGACATCAAATGATCCCTAGTGAGAACTAGAACAGTTGTCTCCTTTCTCATAGCACAGGGAGCTGTCCATGATCCTTAGGAAGAGCTGGTAGGAATGCCTTTCCCATTGTTGGAAGGAGCATGGTTGCTGCATTGGTGGTGACAGGGGAGCACCCATGGGTGGTGCCCAGGGACTGACTGGCTTCTCCTTGATTCGTTTGTAGTGATGGAGACTTCCCTGGGGATGAAGACATCCCTCGGATTGCAACCACTGAGCCAAACATTTTGTCTACCACAAACCCCAGAAATCCCCAAGTCTTCTAGTGGCAGCAATATCCAGATACTTGACAGCAGCCCACCACCCGAGCTTGGGGACATTTCAATGGCAGCTCCGGTCCACAGTCCTAGTATTTACCTGGCACTGCCTCCAGCTCCAAGCCAGGAACAGAAAGGGAATAGGAATTTGGAGGACATGAAAACCGTGCTTTCAAAGCCTCTGGATGCTTACCAGATCCCAACAGAAAACCAAGAGCCTCCACTGCTTCCTTTAGAAATCCCCGACATTCCCCAGCTCCTGGCCTGCTTTGATCCCCTTGGCCAGGAGGAGCAGCCTGGTTGGGAAAACGCTGGTCTGGGAAAGAACAGCCTGAGTCTTAATGACCAAGGGACACTTGAAAATGGGACTGAATCCAATGATGGCTTTGCAGACATCGCCACACTGGTGGAGGATATTCAGCTTCCAGTGGTCCTAAATTCCTTGGATGAACTTGATCAATCCAAAGGTCCCAAGGTGATCCAAACCAAAGATACCAGAGCCATCAATTTGAACGAGGTGCAGAAAACAAGTGTCATTAATGCTCCCTCTGAGCTGATCAGTGGTGCTCCCATAGTCAAAATCCAGCCTGAGAATCCAGATGGCAGGTTGGTGGGAGAAGTGGCTGTTTCCAATGCTGCAGCCATTGACAGGGCTCCTGAAAACAGGGCCAAGAATTCTAACAAACCTCAGAAAGCTGCCCCCAGCAGGACCAGCAAAACCAAGAGCCATGGGCAAGAAAAGGCCAAAAGAACCAGAGAAAACAACCCCAAGAAAACTGGAGAGAGTAAGCAGTCAGGGAACAAAGTCAAGGCAGAGGAGAAGCCAAACATTCCAAAGATGAAGCGGAAGAAATACCACCCTGAGCTGACCCAAGAGACCTTCAAAAAGCCCCGGAGCTCCCTGGGTATGCATATGCTGGAGTCTGTGCAGGTTTTTCATGCTCTGGGGAAGAAGAGTGATAAGAAAACTGAACTCTCTTCCTCCCGGTCCCTGGGACACTCAAGCAACCCCAAAGGCCCCCAGCCATCCCTAGCTATCAGACAATGGCTGGATACCCGCCGTGAGGGCAAAGGTCCTGAGAAAGCTCCAGTCAAACGCCAGAAACCAGATGGCAGTGCTGAAAAGGAGTGTTCATCTCCATCTGAATATGAGCTGCCACCGCCTGGGAAGGTCAAGTTGGTACCTTTGATTTTTCCAACTTTGGACAAGCCCCAAGTTCGACCTGTTCCTCGCAGGCCACTGTCTCTGGCATCACGTCAGCCCGCCGGGGCTAACCGTGCCCAGCCTGGTTCTAAGTCAGCTCAACCTACTGCAGTCAATTCATCTCAGCCAACATCTGCATCTATGATGGGTCCTGCCAGACCAGCTCTGCCAATTTCAACCAATCCTGATCAGCCTGGTTCTAACTCAGCTCAACATGCTGCAGTCAATTCATCCCAGCCAACATCTGCATCTATGATGGGTCCTGCCAGACCAGCTCAGCCAGTTTTGATGAACCCAGTCCAACCAGATTTGACCAACTCTGTTGAGCCTGGTTCTAATTCAGCTCAACTTACTGCAGTGAATTCATCCCAGCCAACTCCTGCATCTTTGACAGGTCCTGCTAAACCTATTTCAACCAATTCAGTCCGACCAGGTTGGACCAACCCTACCCAGCCTAGTGTCCCTCCGTGTGATGCTTCTAGACCTGTGCCCTACAAAACATCAACTTGCACTTCTTTCCAGCGGGAGCCGGTTCGCACTACGGTGAACAAGCCCTGGACCCCACCCAAACCTCAAAACCAATGGCTTCTCCAGGATTTTGCCTGTCAGCGAATTCCATGGAGGAAACCTGATATTTCTGGGCCAGTAATGTCAACGCCCATCACAAAGGAGCAGAGGCCAGAGAGGGAGGCTATGAAGAGGAAAGCTCAACTTGAGCGGGAGAATGCTGCCAAATTCACCTCGCTGGGGAAAGTGCAATATTTCATCGAGAGAGAAAAAGAAATGGACATTTCTCGATACTATGGCTATGCAAAATAAGAGGTGCCTAGAGTGTTGGTGCCTCACTGGATACCTACTGTTTTCCCATAGATAGATATAAATTTCTCTATTCTGGTATATTTTAAATCTTAACAAAATTGAATAAGTAAATGTAGTGGAATTCATAGATAAGTAATAAAGAAGCCTTTGAGTTTTGAGATGCTGTTAACTGTGGTTTTCTTTGGTGGGGGTGTGGATCAAAAGCTGCATGAGAACAAAAGAATTGGTAGTTGGATGGGCAAATGAGGGACAAGGGGTAAGAACTGAGGAAATAGAAAGAACTTTGTCTATGGCCATAAAGGCTAAAAGGGGAGAGATGGATTTATAAAAAGGAGCAGGAGGTGGGGGAATGGTAGAAGTGAGATGCAGGGTCTGGGGTTAGGGTTAAAAAGATAAAATCTGAATAGAGTTGAAAATGGCGGATGAGTCTAGATTGATCAGGAGAAATAGAAAAAGTCTCTCGTGGAGGCCGGTCTTAGGTCTCATGGCCACCAGATAAGTATTTTAGAAAACACATAGTTGGGACATTTCCCAAAGGTTTGGGTTGCCTTTTCCATGTCTGATTGTAGTTGGGGAAGGTGAGGACAAATCAAGTGAATCTACCAGACGAGTGGCAAGGGGGCAGCTGATAACAGGGGCCTAGGCTAGTGAACTGCTGTAGAAGGGGGCTCACCCTACTGGGTAAATTGCCGTTTACTCAATACTAATGCACCATGTCCATTAATGCACTATTTATTATATTTAATTTAGTCTTCATTTCTAAAATTTTTCTTTTATTTTTAATTCTGTCCTGAGTTCTATCATCTCACCTAATTCTGATTTATGGTATTCTTTCACCTTTTTTTCTTTTTATTATAGTAATAAATCCCCTACTGGAGATGAGCCTGCAACCTGGGCATGTGCCCTTGACCAGAGTTGAACCCAGGATCCTTCAGTCTGCAGGCTGACGCTCTATCCACTGAGCCAAATAGGCTGGGGCTAGCAGCTTATAGTTTTTATGTTTTGTCGGCCTGTCTTTTCTGACTTGTTTCATTGGTGAAGGAGATGCTATTCTGCTCCTTCTTCTTCTTTTTCTCATATTATCATTTTATTTATTTCAGAGAGGGAGAGACACTTTCCCTTTGTGTCTGTGGTTCCTTCCAGCTGTGTCTCTCCTGAATGGAAAGGAGCTCTAGTGCTCAGTGTCCAGGTAGAGAGGCCTAGACTGCTCCAGTCCTTACACTTTGTCCATGGCCCCTTGTATTTACTGACGTTGGGACTGGAAAAAGCCCCTTCCAGTCTCAGCTGCTGTCCTCAACTTGGCCCCCAGTGCTCTCAGGTGACGACTGCTGGCACTGTGAAGGCCTCCTGTGCTCACGCCTATCAGATGCTTCCTCCTGTCTGACACTCCCTCTGGTGCGATGCTGAGACCAGGTAGGTCTGTGCCCGGTGGTGGTTGTCTGTTCCACCCTCTTACTTTGGGACTTCTAGTTTCCTGGTAAATGCTACCTACCCATGGGCGTTTAGTTTGGATTAATCTAATGCCATGACAGGGTTTGGGGAAATTAAAAACAATTTCACTGCCTCTATCTTCCTTAAAATCTGCTCATCCTTTGACATGATTATTTTACTAGTAAATGTGACAGCCCTGAAATTATCAGTCCCCCAAAGCAGAGCTGCAGAGCCCATCTGCCCTACCCTCGTAGGACTCTGGGTCAGACAAGGCTTTCTGAGTCTCCTCTGTCTAAGGTGGCACCTCATGCTTGTATTTGCTCGGATCTTGGTGTAAATAAGAAGGCCATACACAGCTACCTGAAAGGCTCATGGGTAAAGGGACATTTGGCCACCATGAGAGGGGAATGAACCTGTGGGCAGGGGGAGAGTCTGTAGGCAGCCACTGGTCAGGAATGTGTATCTTTTCATTCGGTCTTTCCTTCTTTTATCTTCTTTTTTAGACATGTACAAAACTGCATCTCCCATCTGCCCTCCTCCCCAGCCAAACATATACACAAACAAAACAAACAACTGATCCATGCAGTTTTCTTCATCTCAGTTCATGGTAACGCCATTTCCCAAGTTGCTCAGTCCGGAAATTTTGAAATCATATGACTCCTCTCTTACACTTTCCAGATCACCAGCAAATTCCATCTGCCTTACCTTCACATTGTATCAAGGACTTGTCCACTCCTGACCGTTCTCCTCCACTTCCACTCTAGTCCAAGTCTCCATCATTTCCTGCCTGGATTACTGGGACAGCCTCCTAACTTGCAGTTTCCCAATCATTGTAGATCCACAGAGCTCATGGTGTCTCACCTCTATGCAAAAATAAAACAAAATAAAATAGTCCCATTTGTTAAGTAGTTAAGTGCCAACAATTTAATAAGTATTCGTGCCTGTAGTAGGCTGGACAGTGGACAGCCAAAGACAGCAGGTTCTCATCCCTGAAACCTGTAAGTATTACTATTTCACTTAGAAAAAGGGACTTTGTGAATTAAGGGTCTTCAGGTGGGAAGGTTATCCCGGACTGTGAGGGTGAGCTGAGCCATAAATGCAATCTATGCGTCCATGTCAAATGGAGGCAGAAGGAGATCTGATGCAGACAGAAGAGGGGAAGGTGATGTGACCATGGAGGCAAGAGGGCTCCAGTAAAGATTTCACACAAAAATAGAATCTAATGAGTGCATCCTAGCCACATTAACAGAAATGTTCAATGGTGTTAGAGATGGGGAGGAAGAATTGGTGATTAAGTCCATAGGGAAAGAGACAGACAAATGAGACCAGAATGAGGGGGACAAAAGTAGTATAAGAAAGGAAACATAGCCGGAACCGGTTTGGCTCAGTGGATAGAGCATCGGCCTGCGGACTGAGGGGTCCCAGGTTCGATTCCGGTCAAGGGCATGTACCTGGGTTGTGGACACATCCCCAGTAGGGGATGCGCAGGAGGCAGCTGATCGATGTTTCTCTCTCATCGATGTTTCTAACTCTCTATCTCTCTCCCTTCCTCTCTGTGAAAAAATCAATAAAATATTAAAAAAAAAAAAGAAAGGAAACATAATCATGGTATACTATGGCTCAGAGCTGTGTATTTATCTCATACATAACTTGAACTTAGAATTTCTGATTTAACCAAAAGCTGGGAAACAATTATACTAAAAGGATGAGGTAACAGAAGTATGTGTGTCATGGGTATGAAAAAGCTAAATCCTCATCTTCCACTGTAAGAAGTCAATAGCATTAATGTATACAATATACACTACTTAATTACAACTTCTTTTATTTCTTCCTTGTATAATAGAGCATTACAATGATTTTTTTTTTCTTTAAAACTAAGTATGGAAGTAGGTTGTACTTACCTATGAATTTCATTTCAGGACAGGAAAAGGCAAAATACAAAGTATGTGCCATAAAAAGAGAAAATGGAGTGTGATGGGATAGAGAATCACTGTTCTACATGGTGAATTCAAATTTCTAAAAGAATATTGAATTAATCTTTGCTTACCTTTTTCAAAGGGACTTCGAAAGCAATGTTGGAGTCCCAGGCATCCTCCGTCCAACAGGGAGATAGTCTTGCCACCTGTTAGTACATTTGTGTTAGCCAAATTCTCTTAGCCTTTCTCCCAGCACACACTGAGGACTCCTCAGTCCCCTCTTCTCTTTGCTCTGCTGCTCCACCATTCACCCCCACCGAGTTACCTGTACTTCCCCTCTTCCTGTTTCCCCATCTTGAAAACACGTACAAGGCAACAAACAGTGCAAAGGTCTCAACAAAGGAGGCATGCCTAACACCAGAGATGGCCAGAACTTCTATATCCCCGATCAAACCTAGCCTGGTCCTGAATACTAAGGTGGCATAAATACATAGATGTTAACTGAAATAGTTTAAACTCCATTCTTTCACTTCACAGTTCATTTTTAATCCTCATACAACTGATGCCATCATTATTGGATCGGCAGGGAACTTTCAGTTCATATGGTAAAAAGAAAACCCCATAGAACTGTGACAATGAGCTGTGCTTAATAATGCTAGGAGTCACAGGGAGAAGTAATATTTGAGCTGACTTCTGCCGGATGAGTTTAAATGAACTAAGGTTGATTTGGTCTATCTTAAGCATTGGAAGTGAGGGCAAAAGTTGTACAAGTTGAGGCTGGAGAAGCAGGTTGGGTTCTAGACAGTACAGCGTACAGAGTCTTAAAGGCCGAGGTAAAGAGTTTTTTACTCTTTTTAAAATATATATATTTTTATTGATTTTAGAGAGGAAGGGAAAAACAGCCATGATTAGAGAGAATCACCAATCGGTTGCTCCCATACCCCACACCTGGGATCGAGCCCACACCCCGGCACATGGCCTGACCTCCAGGTTCATGGGTAGACGCTCAACCATGAGCCACGCCAGCTGGGAGGCTCAGTGATTGATGTTTTGAGGATATTATGAGCTATGGTCCAATCTGCCCACTAAAAAGATCTGTTATGGGAAGAATGGACTGGAAGGAAACAAGAGATGGATATACATGCACTAGGAAGGACCTAACTGCAATCGGTCTGGCAAGTTCTGTAGTAAGATGCTGTGGGAGAAGCTGGAAGTCAAAAAGCTTCTGGGAGATAAAACTAAGGGGCCGTAATAAGGCATGAGGTGCAGGAAGGAAGGTCTGGAGGAATAAAGAAGGGTTCACTGGCCCTCAGCCTATGAACCAGGCCACTGTTGGGGCGAGCAGGAGGCAGCAGATCAGTGATTCTCATCATTGATGTTTCTATTCCTCTCTTCCTTTCCCTTCCTCTCTGAAATCAATAAAAAATTTTTTTAAAAAAAGAAATAAGCAATAAGCAAAGGATCCACATTAGTAATTTGAACCTAGAGAAAAAGATCACTCAAATGAGCCGTTAGGAAGCAACAGTGTGCCTTTTTCGGTTAAAACAATACAAACCAACTTTTTCCATGAAAAGTTCAGCGGTACTGGTGGGTTTCTTCCCCAATTTTCGTAGTTATTACATTTTAAAATACCACAACTTCCGGAATTAAGGGGGACTCTATTGGTAATTAATGGGTGTCCCCAAAACTGACAGTCCCATCTTTAAAAGCAGTCCCGCTGCATTTTACCCGAAGGGCAATGGCCAGGCCTCGCTTTTATATATTTTTGCCTTTTTATTTATTTTTATTTATTGTTATTGAGCGTATTACAGATGACCCCACCACCACCCCTCTCTTGGCAGGACCTGGCTTTCTAAAGGATGGAAAAGTCAGAAACGCAGACGGTCCCCAGCAGCTCCAGTGGGCGGGGCAGCGACAGGATCAGGGCCTCCGGCAAAGGACGGACAGGCTGGAACCAGGGGCCACGCTAACAGGCAGAGACCGGAGAGAGGAAGCCCAGGCCGGGGGCTGGGGCTGGGAGGCCAAGTCCAGGGGCCAAGCCACCTTACCTTTCGGGGATGTGGTTCCCGCCCTTCCTCTTGGCCGAGGAACGTCCAGAAGAGGCGCGTTCCCGGCCCCAGCGGCTGTGGGCACGATGCCATTGGTTCATGTGGACCCCGAGAGACCGCCCGCCCGACGCCAAGTGCGCCCAGGTCGCCAGCCCAACTCCGTGGAGCCAAAACAAGACCCTCCACCGGAAGCTCCTACACAGACACTGCGCACGCGCCTCCCACCAGGCTCCGGGCTAACGCGCACGCGCCTCCCACTAGGCTCCAGCCTAACGTGCACGCGCCGCCGTCGGGGGCGATGACGTCACGCGCAGGATGAATGAGAGGGGGGATCAGTAAACAGGACGCTGCTGCCGGTGGTGATGACGTCACGCTCAGGATGAATGAGAGGCGGGATCAGTTCATGTACAGACCCTGCAGACTGCAATGCTGCAGCCCATGGAGTGAAAAGTTAAGTCCCGCCCCCCAGTTCAGACCCTGCAGACTGCAATGCTGCAGCCCATGGAGTGAAAAGTTAAGTCCCGCCCCCCAGTTCCCAGCGCGGTCCTCCCACATGTTTTCCAAGCGCTTACATTCACACTTATACTAGTGTATATAAATATTTATTAGTTCAAATATAGATACCGTCTATTTTATATAAACACAGCATACTACATCTATTCTACAATCTATGAAATTTTTGTAATTTTCCCAAAAATATATGTGTACATGTATTTTTTAAGGTTGCATAGTATTCTACTGATTGTAAGTTTGTATCATTATTTATATAACTGATGGACTTCTAGTTGTCTGCAACTTTTTTTATCCTCCATTACAGGCAGGCTGCAATGTAAACATCCTTAAACATATATACAACTATGTTTAAATTCCTAGAAGTAGAATATCTGGAATGAAGGATATGCAAACTTAAAAATTTGATAGATACTTCTTAATTACCCTTCAAAAATATTGTGTTAACCTACACTCCCACTCACCATGAAACTCTTATGGAGTATCAATCATGTGCCAGGAAGTATGTATTTACATTTTTAAAACTGACCCCCAAAAATAATAACTGAGAGAGCCCTAGCTGGTGTGGCTCAGTGGACAGAGCATTGTTCTGCCAACTGAAGGGTGTTGGGTTCCATTCCATTCAAGGGCATGTACCTAGGTTACAGGCTCAATTCCCGGCCCTGGTTGAGGCGTGTGCAGGAGACAACCAATCCATGTGTCTCTCTCACATTGATGGTTCTCCCTCTGTCTCTCCCCCTCCCTTTCATTCTCTCTAAAATTTTTTTAAAAGTATATATATATTTTATTGTTTTCTTACAGAGAGGAAGGGAGAGGGATAGAGAGCTAGAAACATCAATGAGAGAGAAACATCGATCAGCTGCCTCCTTGCACACCCCCCCACTGGGGATGTGCCCGCAACCAAGGTACATGCCCGTGACCGGAATTGCACCCGGGACCCCTCACTCCGCAGGCCGACGCTCCATCCACTGAGCCAAACCGGTTAGGGCTCTCTCTAAAATTTTATGGAAAAATATCCTCGGGTGAGGATTAACCAAAATAATAATAGTAATAATGACTGAGAGAGACAAGAGTAGAGCTCAAGTCTAAGATTTCCGTACACTATCAAGCATAGAGATTTGTATATGTTTCAAAACCTCTCAGTTCTTCTAGAAGTGAAACAAGTAACAGGATGTCCTAGAGTAGGTCTGAAGGCAGAATAAAATGCCAATTTTCAGATTAAACTATAGATAATTATAATAGCAAATGTTTTGGGTGTTTTAATTTTTAGTTTCTAAAAGTACCTTAAATACACTGTTACTAATCTTTACAACCATTTGAGATCTGGGTAAACTGAGGATCAGAAAGGTCAGTTATTGAATAAAGGAATGAACGAATGTGTAAAAAGATCATTAGTTTTAACATTTCTGGGACAATCGTATTCTAACAAAGTTTATAAGCACTAGCATTTATAATTCTGAAAATTTCCACATAATGAAAATAGGTTAATACTAATAACTTCTTTTTAATAAATTGCTATTAATAAATTGCTATTTGAAAAAATATGTAAATCAGCACAGCACAGTTTGCACAATTTGTACAATTAGTCTCATTCAAATTTAGTGTCAAAACCAAAATATTATTTTGGAATTTATGATAAATATATTTAATAAGCATGTAGTGGCCAAAAAGTATTAGTGGTACAAATAGCTATAGACTTGAAAATATACAAAATGTGACATGAATCTATCAGAAACTGCAAAAACAATATTGATTATATATTTACAATTTGCTACAAGACACAAGCTTGAGATAGGAATAGGGCACAGATTTGGTATAGTTGACACAAGAAACTCCAGACCAAGGCACCATAGGGTTTCCAGAAAGTATGAAACCTAGCAAAGAGTAGGCCTTTGGATGGGAGTGTATCCAACATGAGGTGAAAGAATGCATTAATAGGTATGTAGTACACTGGAATGGGAAATATAGGAACAAAGGATATTTGGAGTGCTAAACAGCTAAGTGGTCGACACTATAAAATCTAGCATGTAGAGGTTTGAGGGATTCCGAGTCTTTAATTAAATTAAAAGTGAGAGTAACAAAGCATCCAGGGGTAGATGGGCTGGGTATATTTCAACAAAGCAAGTCTGAGTTATCCCAATGGGTACAAAATGCAGGAAGTGAGTATATGGGACAAGACAATACCCTAACTGCAAAAAAGAAGACTTTAGGTCAGGGTAGAGGTTGATGCTAAGTTTCAGAGGTGTGAACTAAAGTTCTTTAGGTTCCTCCTCTTACACTTAAGATTTTTTTTAGAGTTAAATGATGCTGAGCCCCTAAGGCAAAGTTAAATGGCAGGAACTATGGAGAGAAAATAGTTATAGAGGCTGGGAACCAGGAAAGGCCTACTTAAGGGTTTGTCTAGGTAGAATTGAAAGGTGGAACTGAGTATTTTAACATGTAAACATTTGACTGCTACCAGAATTTATCTAACTACACTTCCTCCAATCTTACACCACCCATCCTAATCTGCAGTGGATATGGATTCTTTTGGTTTCCAGGAGAAAACAGACTTTTTTTTTTTTTTTTTTTAAAAGACTGGTCTGCCCTAGCCGGTTTGACTCGTAGATAGAGCACTGGCCTGCAAACCGAAGGGTCCCAGGTTCAATTCTGGTCAAGGGTATGTATCTCGGTTGCAGGCTCGATCCCCGGCCCTGGTTGGGGCTCGTGTGGAAGGCAACCAATCGATGTGTCTCTCTCACATCGATGTTTCTCTCTGTCTCTACCTCACCCTTGCACTCTCTCTCTAAAAATCAATGGAAAAATATCATCTGGTGAGGATTAATAAAAACAAACAAAAAGACTGGTCTGGCTTGCAGATAGATATTTAGCATATACTGTTAGCCTCACATTACATATTAGTATCATGGAAGTTGGCAATCTGAGGTCTGAAACTTACGGGGAAAAATGCTGAAAAAAATTTATAAGGTTCTGGCCAGCATTGGTCAGTGGTTAGAGCATTGACCCACACACCAGAGCATTGACCTTGTCTAGGCCATGTACCTCAGTTGCAGGTTCAATCCCCTAGTCAGCACAATTATACAAAAACCAAATGATGTGTCTCTTTCACATGGATTTCTCTCCCCTTGCCTCCTCCCACTCTCTAAAAACAATCAATGGAAACACTATCCTTGGGTGAGGAATAACAACATTTTTTTAATAAGTTTAAACCATATGTCTACACCGCAACACCCCTCAGTGTATTTCTTCTCAGGTAAGTATCATCCTATCATCCCCCATCTTTGAAAACACTCATCTCATAAAAGGAAAAGTACTCCTATAAATGAAATATGTCTCTTGTAGATTCCATCTATGAGCTATCGTCTCTTGGCTCTTGCCATCTTGTATCACACACTTCCTACTCATTGGCATAAAAAGCCCCCAGGTAGGTTGATCTAGGCACCCCTAAAAGCTTACCATCAAGAAAAATGACTAGATCCATAGATTTCCTTCCCCAAACCAGCTTACTCCATATAGAGAGTGAGGCAAAAGTAGGTTTACACTTGTGACTACACGAAATAGAGATTCTTCTTGTATTATTCACTAATTATTGTATTATTCCATATGAACAACTGTACACTTACTTTTGCCCCACCCTGTATAAGTCATTAGCAACTTAGCCCTAACTCAGAGTCACAAGAGTGGTTAGTGGGAGAAGCACTAACTGGGGGGCAGAGAACAAGGGCAACCCAGGCTAAGGCCAGGCTAAGGGCACACCTCTGTTCTTTATGCTCAGGGCCACAGTATAACTCACCGCAATGCCCTTTTCACACACTCCCTGTGGATACAGAGCATAAACACAATCCCTATTTTACTAATATAACCAATGATATAAGTGACAAAAACGAAAATATATTTAGGATTATTCTCTCTGGTGGACAGAACTCTTGCTCTGTATACTTTCACTTTGCCTGTTCCCTGTTCCTCATGCAAGTCCCGTCTTTATTCTTCTCTTCATTTCTGTCTGGCCTTGCACCCAAGCATGGCAGACAGAGAATCCTAGAGGCCCAAAATTCTACAGCGGCTGTTTGCAAGGGGGAGGAGACTACAGTAACTGCCACACTGGATACACTTTATGGGAGAAGGAAAGGGGAAAGATCGTGAATGCCTCTCATGTATAAAAATGCAGGATGGCAGCAAGCCTACGTAGCCCAAGGAACCAGAGGGAGCAGATTATGGGCAGAAGAACTGCAACCAAAGGCTAGAAGAGGAAAGGTGTGCAGTCAGCTGGCTCCTAGCTCTTTGGTATTTGCTTCTAATGGGCAGAGTCCATTTTGGGACGCATCACACACTGAAAAGAAGACCCCAGCTGCTGCTGGAAGTTGACAGGAAGTAACATCCGTGAGTGTAAGAATGCAAGAACAAAGCTTGTCTAGAAACACTTCCTACAATGAAGAAAAAGAAGAAAGGGAGAGAAGAGAGATGCAAGTCCAATCTGGCCTGTCCCAGCCCAGCCCAAGGAAGGTAGGATTCAAGAAGAAACTAAAAGAGAAGAGCCTTGGACCACATCATTCTCCACAACATGCACTCAACAAACTTCATTTTACTCTTTAACCAAGTCGCAAAAGAGCTTCCTCCACCCCCACACCCACCCCAAATCCTCACCTGAGGATATTCTTTTCCATTGATTCTGAGAGAGTGAAAAGGAAGGGAGGAGGATGGAGATAGAGAAATACCGATTTCAGAGAGACACACTAACTGGTTGCCTCCTTCATGTGCCCCCACTGAGGGGCAGGGAGCAAATCTGCAACTGAGGTATGTGCCCTTGACTGGCAATACAACACATGACCCTTCGGTCTGAGGGCTGACGCTCTAATCACTGAGCCAAACCAGCCAGGGTGCAAAAGAGCTCTTTAATTCCTCCCTTTGCTCCCCAAAGTTGCAGTAAATACACTAGTTACTAGTAGATGGACAGATATAATTTCTGCACAATTGCAATGGTGCAACCTAGATAACCCTTTCTGTTCTCTCTTAGGATATTAAATATATATATAATAATAAATATATGTCATACAACATAATAAAGAGAATAAAAGTACTAGTTAATTATATTAATGGATGTCTTTAAGAAACACTGAGATTATTTCCCTAACACACGAACCTGGGGAAAGTGAGACTATCACATTTGTCTTGTCAACTAGCACATCTACCCCGGAGCCCAGCCATTTAGGGGTTGGTTTAGCTCCCCTACTGCTCCCTCCATCCAATCTTGTCTTCTTGTTGGGGATCTGACCTCTCTATTGGCCCTCGCATCCCTTTAAACTGCCTGCGTTGTGACATCATTCTCCCACCAAACCTACCACCACCTGGCAGAATCTTGGGGTTTCCATGGAGTTGTCAGTAAATACATTTGGATCATCGCAACTGACCAATGACCAGTAACCAGTGACAGTGTGACCAGTAACCTTCGTACTGGAAACAAGCGCTCTTTCGCTTCACCCACTCAGACATCCTCATCCCTTGCATCTACAATTAATAAAATTTCCTCTTCTTCTCTGACCATGTCAGGTAAGGAAAGAAACTTTTAAAAGTTTCTCATTAGATATTTTTGCCCCTAAATTTAGCAGTAGACTCAAAATAGCATAAAGAAAGGAAGTATTGATCTAGAAATCCAGAGACCTAATTTCAATTTGATTTTGATACTTACTAGCTATGTGACTTGGGACAAGTCATTCACTCACAAAATCTGTTCATCCCTCATCTGTTACATTAGGATTTCAGATTGTAATATAACTTTTCTAATACTGAGTTTTAAAGACACCCATATAGAAAATAAAATCGAGACTTCCGGAATGCGTTTCAATAGAAACACAGAGAATATATGTAGTCTCTCTCTCTATATATAGTCTCTCTCTATATATATAGTCTCTACTATAAGGGTCTCTCACCACTAATGTTTCAATTTTAGTATTTTCAGTTAGTGCAGTTCAAAAAGTAATATTCACCTATTTTTGGAGTTTTCTATCTAAACTAGGTGAAAGGGGAAAATAGGGAGAGAAGATGAAGAGTACTAGGCTATAGTGAGGCAAGTATTTAAATGTATGAAAGTTTAGAATTGTTTTTATCAGCACAGGCCCACAACACCAAGGCAGGGGGGCACATAAGCAAGAAGGAGGGGAAACTATAAGAATGAAGCAGGAGGGCATGGAAGAGCTCTCAAGAGCAAAAAGGGGTCGTTTTGCAATGGAATGCTGAAGGCAACCAAGGATTTTAAATTAAAGCAGAGAACGTAGGGTGAAATCTGCTCAGAGTAGGGCAAAATAAAGTTGATTTTAGTCAGTGCTTTCATTAATAGACTAGGAAGGAAAGTAAGGCTGGAATAGGGTATCAGTAGGCAAAGCCGCTTATCAGCAAAGTCACATTCAGTTGTCTGTGTTTTTCTATTGCCTCTCTGAACACACAGATGACAGTTTTGAGGATCAACGTTTAAAAACATGCGTTTTAGAAATTATGGTTCCTGTAAGCAAGCAATTAATAAAGGTGGTTATCTAGGGGGCTGGAGGAAAACATAATTTTCAGTGTTTCACTTCATTCTGATATTTAAACTATGTAGATGTTTTTTGTCACTTAAAAATGAAATTAAGATTAAAAATTGATATGTCCTAACCTGAACCAGAAAGACTAATTCCTTTGTGTGATAAGCATGTTCCACACTGAGAAACAGCCATCATCTCCCTTAGATCTTAGCTACCTAAGAAGGAAAAGAAAAGGTCAAACCCCACATCTCTAACTTCACGTGTATCTAAAACCAATCTTGTGGGGTCTCTTGACAATTCCTACAGTAAATTTTTATTTAATTAAAGTCTAGTGATGATGGCTTTTAAGACTTTCCTGGATGTTGAAGATGATTAAAATCTAGGTTTTAAGATAAACATATACATTTTCAGGATACTCTTTTAAGTGTTCTTTCTGTTTGTCATGTGGCTATATTAATTGAAATATATATTTCTACTAGACTTACTATCTGTTACTTGCTGGGTAATATTCAGAAAAAACATGAATAATCACATTAATGGAATTCTTTCTGCTCTGATTTATAGCAATTTTTACAGAAATATCTGTCTACATATATTGGGGCTACTTATACATCCACATTTATGGCTTGTTATGCAGTTTTTACTGATATATCTTCTCTCTCCACATGGCTAGAAATTTTTTCAAAATCATCTTGTATTATGCGCTGTTCTTTGGTTAATAGTATTCACTAACTCCCCAATCGGCCCTGCTCTGACCCTGACCAGGGGCTGTACTTAGGGATTGGGCCTGCCCTATGCCACCCAGGAGCAGGCTATGTGCCCCAATTTTCATTAATGTTTATATATATTATTAGTTCTGTGATATATATTGTTCATGATTTTTCTCTTCCCCCCAGTGCACAAATTTTTGTGCACCGGGCCTCTAGTCCTATATAATAAAAGGCTAATATGCAAATCAACCGAACAGCGGAAGGACCCTTGGTATGACACACACTGACCACCAGGGGGCAGACACTCAACACAGGAGCTGCTCCCTGGTGGTCAGTGCGCTCCCACAGAGGAAATGCTGCTCAGCCAGAAGCCCTTAGCCCAGTGCAGTGGTGGGAGCCTCTCCCGCCTTCGCAGCAGCACTAAGGTTGTCTGACTGATGGCTTAAGCCATCAGCTGGACATCCCCCAAGGGATCCTGGACTGCAAGAGGGCGCAGGCCAGGCTGAGGAGCCTCCCGACTGCACAAATTTTGTGTATTGGGCGTCTAGTGTAATATAACACTTACTCATGTATAAATTATTATTGTTACTATTATTATAATGACTTTATGGATGAGTAACTCAAAACCTGGACAGTTTCAATAATGTTTTTCTTTCAAAAAGCACTTCTTGAGAAACTCACTCCCCCATAGCCATTTTGAGGTAGGATCAGAAACCAGGCTTGAAGAGGGTAAGAATGACACTTCAAATTTACCAACTGCACTGAGCTACATGTGAGTTCCAGGGAATAGCATGTGAACTTGTAGGCAGCACGAGTCACTGAAGATTACAGTGGCAATAGCTGTACTGTTTTCCATGGACAAAACCCCGCATCTGTACTAAAAGCCCCGTTGCTCCCGGTTTGTGGCAGTGTAATGCTTAGAGCAGAGCTCGAGTAAGGGAGTCAGGATACTTAGGTTATGTAACACGGTAATAATACAGGCACAATGAGAGAACTTGAACAAGTCTATCTGGCCTCTCTGAGCTTCAGTTTCCACACCCATAAACTGAGAATGTTAGAACTCAGGGTCTCTAAAGAATCCTGGTTCTGCCGAAACCGGTTTGGCTCAGTGGATAGAGCGTCGGCCTGCGGACTGAAGGGTCCTGGGTTCGATTCCGGTCAAAGGCATATACCTGGGTTGTGGGCACATCCCCAGTGGGGAGTGTGCAGGAGGCGGCTGATCGATGTTTCTCTCTCATCGATGTTTCTAACTCTCTGTCTCTCTCCCTTCCTCTCTGTAAAAAATCAATAAAATATATTAAAAAAAAAAAAAAGAATCCTGGTTCTAAAATGCTTCGATTCTAGGAAAGAGCACACAAATCAATACTAGTAGAGGCTCAAGGGAAAGGTAGGGCGGAGAGTGGTTGCCTCTACCGTAGAGAATGTATGAACCTCTTGGTTCTCTTGCACATTTTGCCCACATTGGGAGCACAGGCAGTTAATACAGAAGAGTAGCAAACTGTTCCCGGACTTACAACCAACATAAGCTGTTTGATTTTTGACACCTCAGTGAGTATTGGTATTAATCTTAAGATGATGCTATTCTTCAAACATAGTGAAGCCCTTTGATTTTTTTCATCACCCTCTTTGTTCCCCACAGAGAATTTCCAAAATCCACCTTTACTTGGAACTTCAAAGTCTCTGCAGCTCTCTCTTCCTGTGGGGAGCACTGCAGCCTCCCTCACAGGACGAGTCTGCAGTTTCCCCAGAGTCTCTGCTCCAGCCGTCACATCAGCATGGCTCCTACCATCAGTCTCTGGCACCTCTTTCCAACCTCTCATGGGTAGTGCCTACCTTTACCAACATTCTAGCACAACTATGTTGTCTGGAGTTACTGGCCAGAGCCAGATCTCCACTCCAGCTGCTTCCAATCCTGGTATTTTTGAGTGGGCGCTCACAGGAGGCACTGGAAAGAAGTCCTCATCCATCCGAGACTTCACGGTGACTGTCATTGACCAGGACACAGCTGTTTCTTCCATGTCGATGGCATCCCAGTACAATAAAACCTCAGATGCCACTAACATGGTCCCTCTGTATCCATCACTTTCTGCCAGCCTTGTTCATGGGGCATCATCTCAGATTCCAAATCAGGGACAGAGCTGGTCACTTCCCTACCAGGATGGAAGTCAGCTCTATTTTTACAATCAAGGCACACTAGGGCCTCTGCTCTCTGCAGAACGTGGCCCCTACCTGCAATCCTATGGCTCTGTGTCTTACCCAGAGAGCAGGGCCTCTGCCCCTCAACCAGAAATGGTCATGGTGCTAAGGGAGGTCCAGCCCACAAATGTGATACCACCTGCCTCCACCTCTGCAATCTACTACTCTGTGCCTGCTCAACCCATCACAGAGACAAGTTTTCAAGGTGAGTTCAAACAGCAAGAAGGAAGAGGAACGGGGTCACCATTAAAAACTCGGGTCACCCGGGAAGTGGTGAGTCCACAGACAGGTAGACTTTAAGTCCTGTGACTTTGTAACTGCCACCCTCAGTCAGTGCTCCCCATTTTCAGACTCTATGGGAACACCTCATAGAGAAGGGAAGGTGGACCCTGGATTGGCCATGTATGAGAACTGAAGAGCATACAAAGGGGTCCCACACTATTCACTCCCTTACCTACTAGTCTCCCTCTACTACAACAGTTTCATGGACTCTCTTGATTTATTGCTTCAGTGTCTTTTTTAAAAAATATATTTTATTGATTTTTTACGCAGAGGAAGGGAGAGAGATAGAGAGTTAGAAACATCGATGAGAGAGAAACATCCATCAGCTGCCTCCTGCACACCCTCTACTGGGGATGGAACAAAGACATCCAACGATCCCCAGTGAGAACTAGAACATTTGCCTCCTATCGTCTAGCATAGGGAGCTGTCCATGATCTTTAGGAAGAGCTGGTAGGAATGCCTTTCCCATTGTTGGAAGGAGCATGGTTGTTGCATTGGTGGTGACCGGGGAGCACCCATGGGTGGTGCCCAGGGACTGACTGGCTTCTCCTTGATTCGTTTGTAGTGATGGAGACTTCCCTTGGATTGCAACCTCTAAGCCAAACATTTTGTCCATCACAAAACCCAGAAATCCCCAAGTCTTGTAGTGGCATCAATATCCAGATACTTGACAGCAACCCACCACCTGAACTTGGGGACATTTCAATGGCAGCTCCGGTCCACAGTCCTAGTATTTACCTGGCACTGCCTCCAGCTCCAAGCCAGGAACAGAAAGGGAATAGGAATTTGGAGGACATGAAAACCGTGCTTTCAAAGCCTCTGGATGCTTACCAGATCCCAACAGAAAACCAAGAGCCTCCACTGCTCCCTTTAGAAATCCCCGACATTCCCCAGCTCCTGGCCTGCTTTGATCCCCTTGGCTAGGAGGAGCAGCCTGGTTGGGAAAACACTGGTCTGGGAAAGAACAGCCTGAGTCTTAAGGACCAAGGGACACTTGAAAATGGGACTGAATCCAATGATGGCTTTGCAGACATCGCCACACTGGTGGAGGATATTCAGCTTCCAGTGGTCCTAAATGCCTTGGATGAACTTGATCAATCCAAAGGTCCCAAGGTATTCCAAACCAAAGATACCAGAGCCATCAATTTGAACAAGGTGCAGAAAACAAGTGTCATTAATGCTCCCTCTGATCAAGACAGGAAGAACCCATAGTCAAAATCCAGCCTGAGAATCCAGATGGCATGTTGGTGGGAGAAGTGGCTGTTTCCAATGCTGCAGCCAGTGACAGGGCTCCTGAAAACAGGGCCAAGAATTCTAACAAACCTCAGAAAGCAGGGCCAAGAATTCTAACAAACCTCAGAAAGCTGCCCCCAACAGGACCAGCAAAACCAAGAGAGAAAACAACCCCAAGAAAAAGAACCAGAGAAAACAACCCCAAGAAAACTGGAGAGAGTAAGCAGTCAGGGAACAAAGTCAAGGCAGAGGAGAAGCCAAACATTCCAAAGATGAAGCGGAAGAAATACCACCCTGAGCTGACCCAAGAGACCTTCAAAAAGCCCCGGAGCTCCCTGGGTATGCATATGCTGGAGTCTGTGCAGGTTTTTCATGCCCTGGGGAAGAAGAGTGATAAGAAAACTGAACTCTCTTCCTCCCGGGCCCTGGGACACTCAAGCAACCCCAAAGGCCCCCAGCCATCCCTAGCTATCAGACAATGGCTGGAGACCCGCCGTGAGGGCAAAGGTCCTGAGAAAGCTCCAGTCAAACGCCAGAAACCAGATGGCAGTGCTGAAAAGGAGTGTTCATCTCCATCTGAGTACGAGCTGCCACCACCTGGGAAGGTCAAGTTGGTACCTTTGATTTTTCCAACTTTGGACAAGCCCCAAGCTCGACCTGTTCCTCGCAGGCCACTGTCTCTGGCATCACGTCAGCCCGCCGGGGCTAACCGTGCCCAGCCTGGTTCTAAGTCAGCTCAACCTACTGCAGTCAATTCATCTCAGCCAACATCTGCATCTATGATGGGTCCTGCCAGACCAGCTCTGCCAATTTCAACCAATCCTGATCAGCCTGGTTCTAACTCAGCTCAACATGCTGCAGTCAATTCATCCCAGCCAACATCTGCATCTATGATGGGTCCTGCCAGACCAGCTCAGCCAGTTTTGATGAACCCAGTCCAACCAGATTTGACCAACTCTGTTGAGCCTGGTTCTAATTCAGCTCAACTTACTGCAGTGAATTCATCCCAGCCAACTCCTGCATCTTTGACAGGTCCTGCTAAACCTATTTCAACCAATGCAGTCCGACCAGGTTGGACCAACCCTACCCAGCCTAGTGTCCCTCAGTGTGATGCTTCTAGACCTGTGCCCTACAAAACATCAACTTGCACTTCTTTCCAGCGGGAGCCAGTTCGCACTACGGTGAACAAGCCCTGGACCCCACCCAAACCTCAAAACCAATGGCTTCTCCAGGATTTTGCCTGTCAGAGAATTCCATGGAGGAAACCTGATATTTCTGGGCCAGTAATGTCAACGCCCATCACAAAGGAGCAGAGGCCAGAGAGGGAGGCTATGAAGAGGAAAGCTCAACTTGAGCGGGAGAATGCTGCCAAATTCACCTCGCTGGGGAAAGTGCAATATTTCATCGAGAGAGAAAAAGAAATGGACATTTCTCGATACTATGGCTATGCAAAATAAGAGGTGCCTGGAGTGTTGGTGCCTCACTGGATACCTACTGTTTTCCCATAGATAGATATAAATTTCTCTATTCTGGTATATTTTAAATCTTAACAAAATTGAATAAGTAAATGTAGTGGAATTCATAGATGAGTAATAAAGAAGCCTTTTGAGTTTTGAGATGCTGTTAACTGTGGCTTTCTTTGGTGGGGGTGTGGATCAAAGGCTGCATGAGAACAAAAGAATTGGTAGTTGGATGGGCAAATGAGGGACAAGGGGTAAGAACTGAGGAAATAGAAAGAACTTTGTCTATGGCCATAAAGGCTAAAAGGGGAGAGATGGATTTATAAAAAGGAGCAGGAGGTGGTGGGATGGCAGAAGTGAGATGCAGGGTCTGGGGTTAGGGTTAAAAAGATAAAATCTGAATAGAGTTGAAAATGGCGGATGAGTCTAGATTGATCAGGAGAAATAGAAAAAGTCTCTCGTGGAGGCCGGTCTTAGGTCTCATGCCCACCAGATAAGTATTTTAGAAAACACATAGTTGGGACATTTCCCAAAGGTTTGGGTTGCCTTTTCCATGTCTGATTGTAGTTAGGGAAGGTGAGGACAAATCAAGGGAATGTACCAGACGAGTGGCAAGTGGGCAGCTGATAACAGGGGCCCAGGCTAGTGAACTGTTGTAGAAGAGGGCTCACCCTACTGGGTAAATTGCCGTTTACTCAATACTAATGCACCAGGCCCACTAATGCACTATTTATTATATTTAATTTAGTCTTCATTTCTAAAATTTTTCTTTTATTTTTAATTCTGTCCTGAGTTCTATCATCTCATCTAATTCTGATTTATGGTATTCTTTCACCTGTTTTTATTATAGTAAAACATACATAACACATAATTTATCATTTTAACGGTTTTTAAGTATACGATTCAGTCACATCAAGCACATTCATGATATTGTGCAACCATCACTGCCATCTAAAATTACAATAATTATGTCCAAAGATGGAGCAGGACTTCAGAGAGGTGGAAGGAGCAGGACAGTTTTTGAATCTCCCCAAACCCTTTCATGGAAATAGATAAACCCAAACCAAACACCCATGGGTAGCTTTTACCAGCATTTACTATTTCCAGAACTTTCCATCATTCCAAACAGAAATGCTGTCCCCTTTAAATAATATCTTCACATCCCCCCCCCATGTTCTTTCATCTTTTACACTGTTTTTCCACGTCTTTTAGCTCATTTTGAAATAGCAGGTTATTGTTTTTTGTCTGTTTGTTTGTTTTTTAAACATATTTTCATTTATTTCAGAGAGGGAGAGAGAGATAGAAACATCAATGATGAGAGAGAATCATTGATAGGCTGCCTCCTGCACGCCCCTTACTGGGGATCGAGCCTGCAACCTGGGCATGTGCCCTTGACCAGAGTTGAACCCAGGATCCTTCAGTCTGCAGGCTGACGCTCTATCCACTGAGCCAAACAGGCTGGGGCTAGCAGCTTATAGTTTTTATGTTTTGTCGGCCTGTCTTTTCTGACTTGTTTCATTGGTGAAGGAGATGCTATTCTGCTCCTTATTCTTCTTTTTCTCATATTATCTTTGTATGGGATTTGATCTCAATTATTTTGAGTTTTATTTTTAGGGGCAATCAGTTTTAACACCTTTAGAAGAGGAGGTGAGGTTGAAGAAATCTCTTCTAACTTCCTAGAACTTTTGTGTATTTATTTTAATGTAGTATTGGATCATGGGACTTGCTTTCTGAGTTTTCTTGGCTCTGTTCCCCCCCTCTCCCCCCGACACACACTTTCTCAAGACACTTTCCCTTTGTGTCTGTGGTTCCTTCCAGCTGTGTCTCTCCTGAATGGAAAGGAGCTCTAGTACTCAGTGTCCAGGTAGAGAGGCCTAGACTGCTCCAGTCCTTACACTTTGTCCATGGCCCCTTGTATTTACTGACGTTGGGACTGGAAAAAGCCCCTTCCAGTCTCAGCTGCTGTCCTCAACTTGGCCCCCAGTGCTCTCAGGTGATGACTGCTGGCACTGTGAAGGCCTCCTGTGCTCACGCCCATCAGATGCTTCCTCCTGTCTGACACTCCCCTCTGGTGCGATGCTGAGACCAGGCAGGTCTGTGCCCGGTGGTGGTTGTCTGCTTCACCCTCTTACTTTGGGCTTCTACTTTCCTGGTAAATGTTACCTACCCATGGGCGTTTAGTTTGGATTTATCTAATGCCATGACAGGGTTTGGGGAAATTAAAAAGCAATGCCACTGCCTCTATCTTTCTCAAAATCGGCTCCATTCTTTGACATGATTATTTTACTAGTAAATGTGACAGCCCTGAAATTATCAGTCCCCCAAAGCAGAGCTGCAGAGCCCATCTGCCCTAGCCCTTGTAGGACTCTGGGTCAGACAAGGCTTTCTGAGTCTCCTCTATCTAACATGGCGCTTCATGTCTGTATTTGCTCAGACTATGTTTTGAATAAGAAGGCAAAACACAGCTACCTGAAAGGCTCATGGGTAGAGGGACATTTGGCCACCATGAGAGGTGGAATAAGCATGCATGCAACTCATTTTCCCAACTAGACTTTTTTTTGGTGATGTGAGATACCAGTCTGCAAACAAACTATAGGTGGAGCTCCAAACCTCAGATTCATCTTCATGTTACTGGTTTTACTGTAGCCTTATTTTCAAGGAACAACTTCTTCATCAGGTAATTCCAACTCCAACAGAAAAAGAACATAATTTTCATGCAGTAGTAAACCACAAGTGTAAAAGTTCCCAGTACACTTGCTGTATTTTCCTGATTTTAAAAAGCTCATCCCACATCTTTTTCGTCCCAAGTATTTACTTTTCAAATTGTATTTGTCATTTTATATCCCCAATAGTTTTATAGCAAAAGTTTTAACAATACAAACAGTTTTTTAAAAATATATATATTTTATTGATTTTTTTACAGAGAGGAAGGGAGAAGGATAGCGACTTAGAAACATCGATGAGAGAGAAACATCGATCAGCTGCCTCCTGCACACTCCCTACTGGGGATGTGCCCGCAACCAAGGTACATGCCCTTGACCGGAATCGAACCTGGGACCCTTGAGTCCACAGGCCAACGCTCTATCCATTGAGCCAAACCAGTTAGGGCAAACAAACAGTTTTTAGTACACATTCCATTTCTGCTTTCAGAGCACCCCGATTCCCTAGTAATATTCAAGGTGGGCTGTATTAGTGTCTCAATGCATTGAGCTCACCTAGTATCCCCTTGAGAACCTTAATTGTCTTAAAAAAAATTTTTTCCCCCCTCTGGTGGCTCTAAGTATTCATCCATGAGTGCCTTAAAAAAACAAACAGGTATTGAGTTTTTCTTTTTCATTATCGTAGGCCCATCACTTGACATAGGTCCATGAACAAAATCAATAAATATTTGATTAATTAATGAAGGCATCTAGCCTTGGAGGCTTTCTGCTTCTAGTATTAACCACCTTATGGAGAAGACTTGGTCCCAAGAGCATCAGGACCACTGTTTTTTATTGTTCATCTCAGTTATCACCATAATTGGCTACCTATTCCTGTAATTCATTTTGGAGAAGTGAAATGACATTTAGTTCAACAACATTTGAACATCCAACAATCTTTATTGAGTGTCATCTGGGGTTGCAAGCTGTTCCAGGCACTGGAAATAGAGCTGAGCAAGTCATAAAGAGCTCCTGTCTTCCTGTAGATTATTTTCTGGCAGGGAATGAGAAACAATAAATAATCCAGACCATAGCAGACAGGGGTAAGGACTATAAAATGAGTTAAAATAAGACCAAGTGATAGTGGGTGACTGGGTGGCTACTTAAAGTGTGTGGTCAGAAAAGTTCTCTTTGAGGAGATGACATGTATACTGAGACACGAATGACAAGATGGAGCCAGCCACGTGAAGATCAGGGTAAGAGCACCCAGGAAGAGAAAACAGCGGTGCAAAGGTCTTGATGGGAAGAGCAGATGTTTAGACAGAGTGGGGAGAGAGTAGTAAGCAAGGAGAAGAGTGGTAGATGAGGTCAGAGAGATAAAAGGAACTGAGTCACTTGTAAGAAGGTAAGGAGTTTAGATTTTTAATTTGAAGTGCCATGGAAATAATTGGAGAGTTTTAAACCCAGGAGCAATCGTATCTGATTTCTCTTTTAAAAATAACATTAGCTGCTACTGTGAAAATACATTGCAGTAGGTAAGAATGGGTGTCATTACTTTACTAATGAGATGTCCCCTCTAAGTATGGCACTTATCACAGGAGTAGCAAGTAGGCAAATGACATCTGCCTGGAGTCTCCCTTGTTTTTGCTCCCCCAGAAAGCTCCTCTAGGCCTGTTTTCTATATCATGATGCTATTGAAAGGGTGAGGGCTATGCGCTCTCCGCCATCTCCTCCATGTTGGGGCCACGTGTAGCCTTCTTCCCGGAAGCCCAGGCCTCTGCTGGCCGCGCCCGGGATTTTAAACTAACCAATGACAATCAAGGAAAGTGCGCGCCATAGATATGACCACATCCTGTGTAACAAGACCCGGCTCACGCCTGGCCAATCGGCAGGGCCCACAATCCCCTTGCGTCACCCCCCTATTTAAGCCGGATTTTCCCATGGGAGGGGACTCTCTCTTCCTGTCGCCGGGCCGGCCGGGAGCAGGGCCGGGCCGGCCGGGAACGGGGGTCGGTCTAGCTAGTCCTAAAATAAAAGGTCCTTTTGCTGTTGCATCGAAACTGGCTCCCAGTGTGGAATTCTTTGGGGATCTTGGAATCTGGGCATAACAGCTATATATAAAATTTTTGCCTTCCAGGAGTCCCTTCATGTTTCAGAGGAATGAGCAGGTAGGAATAAGCATGCAAGAGTGCAGGAGTCTGTGATATTAACGTATGCAAGAGGTCCTATGAAGACGGTTCAGGGAAAATGTTCATGGCCATAAGGGAAAAGCACCTCACTTCCTAGCTTGGCCTTGGCCCACAGGGGAGACACTGAAGCCATTTGCTGACAGAATACCGTCCATGCTTAGCCTTCAGTCTTTGGGGCAGGAGCAAGTAGAATAGTCTTCTCATTTATGTCAACAACCCACAGAATTTTTGTATCCTTAGTTTCCTGGTCACATGTACAAAACTGTCTAGTTTTCAACGTTCCCGGTTAATCAGGAAGTGAGGAATTTCAGATGCTTATCTTGGCTGGGGTGTTCTTGCTTGTTGTTTCTGGTCCCTATAAAGCCGAGAGTGCTGACCACTTGCCCCAGATGCCAAAAACTCTGGTCCATATTTACAAATTCCTTCTCTAAAAGGGCCAGATACTGCTTCCCATGTTCCTATATCCTCTTACTCATTATTTTAAAAACTGCCATCACCTAGTCATATTTACTTTCTAATATCAGGGACAGCATGTGTGTGGTGGTTGCTCTGTTTGTGATTATGCACATCCCTCTCTTATGTGCTTCCTAGTCATGGTTTCTTAAAGCCTTCTCATCATAGTCTTAACATCTAGCACGTGTGTAAAATCTATTAACTTGTTAAACATCACAAAAAAAGAGCTATTTTTTGGAGAATGTGTTCAATGGGAGCAGATGGCCCTGCCCCACTCCCTATTAGCTCTGCTTCTGTCTGTCCTAC